GCATCTTTGCATTTGATATTTCCCTTGTATACGTATTAGTATTGTTTGCCTAAATTTAGTTTTCTCAGGAGCTACTAAAGGACTACACTTTAAGATGTCCATAACTGTTGCATAGCACAATGTTCAATTATCTTTTTCTCCTAACCTACATGCTAGTCATTGTATCGATGGTGTAAGGAGAAATTACATACGAATCACGCATTCAACTTACCCGAGCATCGTTGATATCAAACGAGTCATGACACACAGTTCCCCATTGACCTCTTAGAAAAATCTCGAGGCGACCAACTCGATAATTTTTCCCGCCAACAAGGCGACTTCCATTATTATAAGGCGCCGTAACGTTCAATTCGTCCACATTTACTGAACTGTTTGTTGGTATTTTGCTGAAGACGATTCTGCCATTCGAGTTTCCGTTTGCTTGCAGAGAGCCTTTAACTTGTAAAGCAACTCCAGCTTTAAAGTGCAACTGAACTCCTGGTTCTATAGTTAAAGTGGCGTTCCCAGCTATAACAAGGTCTTGATATACAACATAAGCTGACCCGTTCAGTGATAGAGTGGTGTCGACAGTGATATATCCCCCAATACTTGTATTCTCGACGCGTTGTGTGACAATAAGCAACAGCAGCAGATAAATAATTCTACATAACGCTGGTGAATAATTTTCCATCATTGAACAAAACCTGTGGACCCTAAAAAAGAGAACAAGGTTTGCGTTGGCTAACCAGATTAGAGCGGGTCCTCTCTCTCTCTCTCTCTCTCTCTCTCTCTCTCTCTCTCTCCTGTTTAGTTGCTGAGGAATGTTGAGATCGTCCCGGAAATTGTGTATTCTTACCATTTTACGTCAGAAGTGTCAGAGAACCATGTTATTACACAACCGTTGTTGATTTACTTTTTGTTACCAACACAAACAAACATTTCAAGCTTTTGTTCTGACATTAAACTACATTAGTTCTTCAAACTTTTAATGTTTATCTGTAGAAGGGTATCAATTAGGCCGGCGGGGTAGGAGGGGGGTGGGTGATTTATTTCTTTCAGCTCGTACGTGTAATTTATTATGTAATAGGAACACGTATTTCTAAATTGCAAGTTTAATATTTCTTTGACGGATACTCTGTTAATAATTCGTAAACAGATGGTCATCGATATAGTGACCACAGATTTTCCTTTTAAACCACGAAAACAGATTAATGGCAAATTTTCATTTTGGGTAAATTTGATAATGGAAACTTTATGAAAGAGAGGCATGGAAGCAACAGATTGAACGGACCAGATAACTTGGTTAAATAGCACTTCAAGTGATACACACCATTGTCTGAATTCGAGTTTCAGATCTGCAGAAATACATTTTAAAAGGTCTGTAGTATTTCAACCATGCAACACGGTTCTATCATACAGTTTTGCCGTAAATATACAAAAAAATAGCCCTGAATAAATCGTTAGCTTTCCGATTGAATTTTGTCTGCCTCACCCCAAAGTTTTCGTACATCGAAACCTAGTTGACCATGTTTCACCAGGTCTGTTTACACAGGGGGGTATCTTGTTGCGTACAAACGTTATACTAAAGCCACATTTTAAGAAAGGTAAATTTCAAAATCCTTTAAAATACTCACCGACAAAACAGCACAACTTTCACGAACAACTTTCCTCCATAATTAAATTACTAACGCGAACTAAACTGTCGCTAAAGCTGAGACGTGTTATAAACAATGGTTTCCTGTTGACCTTTTGTTGTAAGGTGGCGATATTTGTGTAATGCGCACAGCTTCTGACGTCATAAAAATCTGAAAATACGGTGAATAATTATATATTGACAAACGTGTATGTTGCAGCTGCAATGTTGCACGCTTCAAAAAACCCAAAATTGACAACGTGTTAGACGTCAAATCGAGTATCAGCACCTCTCATTTTACAGATTCGCGCCTGCATCGCAAAACGTTCTCGTAAACAGGATCCTTATCTATTGCAAAGATTTAGTGGGAAAAGACCTCAAAAGCTATCTGAAGGTGTCCAAATGCGTCGTTTCTTAGGCTGAAATTCCGGAGGGGGGCTCCGAAATAAAAATGAGGGGGTGCTCGTCGGACCTTTTAGGAAAAAATATGACGGGGATACTGTGCAATGTAAGAAAAAAAATGTCAAACCGCGCCCACAAAACAGGATCTTGGTACCTCTTAGGGTTTCTTTTCAAAATTTCCGACGAGCACCTACGTCTTTTTATACGGGAAGTTTGGGCTAAAGGTGGGACTGGCAGTTCAGTTTACTATTTTGTTCCATATTCTTAGAAACGTAAGGATGTGACAGGAGGACCAGGCGCTTCCTGTTTTGACAAAAACATGACAGGAACATGTAAATCGGCACATACAAGTGGACTTTGGGTAGTTCAGTGGAAATTGTTTTACCCGCAAAGTAAATTTCAAATAGTCAAATTTTTGTAGCTTTTCAGAAACTACCACTTACTCTTGGAAAAACTTTTCAAGATAGGTTTGCCTTTCGGTATCTATCAATACACGTTCAGGAAAGACTACAGACGAGAGATCTCGGCCACATCTTCGGCTGTTCCAGTCTTTTTCCGTTCCAACCTTTTTCGACTTTTAAAGATCGCGTTCTTTAAAACAAGCTAGTTATAATTAAGTTTTGTTACCGTTAGCGGAAAGCAATAACTGTCGTAGTTCGGCACTATAGCCGTGATTAAAATAGCCTGCGAGTAGGCTCACGTTGGAGCACAAGCGCGCGCGGCGTAGCTGCGAGCGCGAAATTGAGCGGCGAAGCCGCCAGACGAAATGGCACCTCTTCACCTGACTCCTTCCCACCGGATCGCTTTGCTCTTCGGCGCTCGCGCGTGTGACTCAAAGGTGAGCCTGCTCGCAGGCAGTGATTAGAAGTAAACAGTGTTGCTCACGGCTGAGAGAAGTCTGAAATATTTTCAGAGTTCAGAAAGATTTAAAAAACGCTACAAACTTGATCGCCTTCCAACAAAGATCGCGTTATAATCTTATTAGTTTTGACCTTTCTTATGTTTTGCCCAGGATATCGGGCAGGAGCCTTTCAGTTTGGACAGCCCGCGGCACTCTCGAAGAATCACCTAAATCACTCACGTTGGTGACGCCGTAACTATAAAGGAAAATTGCTTTAATTTTGTTTGTTCAGGAGTAAGCTGGTACCCACTGGGAAATGACGTCGACAGCACAGTGGAATCCCGATTTTTCGAACCTCCAAGGGAAACGAGAATTGGTTCGAAAAATCGGAGAGTTCCAGAACTCGGGGGAAAAATTACAGCGTTTGACTGAGGAGAGGGAAACGACTTTTGGTTCGAGTTATTGGGAGGTTCGAAAAACTGAGGGTTCGAGAATCGGGATCCCACCGTATTCGCGGCCTCAAAGGGTATGGTTTTTTTACCTGTTTTGGTCCGAAAAAGAATATAGAATTTGACCATTTTGGCCTGGAATATGGCATATTTTTCACTCTGACTTGGCATTGGGTATTCTGTTTACAAGGAACTAAGTTTTTCCGCATCAACATTAGCAAATTTGTAGCCCTCCTCAAATGTTTACGCAAATGAGCCGCGGTCATAGATTACAGCCGTGTACTCATTTAAAAGGTCTGAAATGGGATATGGAGTTTTGGTTGTCCGTAATAGGGTATGGACAATCACAGATTTTGGTCTGAAATAGGGTAAAGGTTTCAAGGTTAGAGTCGCAACCCTCCCCCCCCGTTCCCCCCCGCTCCCCCCCCCAAGAAAACATTCGAAGTATAACCCCCCGGGACCAAAACATGCCTCGAGGCCTTTTAGCTTTGAATGATTTGACAGAAGTGTCTCGCTGGTTTTAGTTGAGATGGATTGGTAATCAATCTCTGTTGGATATTTTTAAGCTAGTAAATACAGCACTGTATCCTTTCATAAATTATCTGTTCGCGCAACAGCCGCCAACTCTTAAAAAGAGCGGGCTGTTTGTGAAGAACTGGGCCTTGAAAATGGATCAAGGGCAGATTGCGTCTTTATTTTGTCCTCGTTGTTTTTCTACGTATGAGTTTTTGACATTTGTTTACATTGCATTACCGCGAAACTGTACGTATTGTTTAACAAAACATCTGTCTGGTTCAACCCTATTGGTCGATCTTGTAGTTGTATAAATTTCTAATAGTTTTTGCCTTGAGGTGCTGGAAAGATTCTTAGACATGTTGTTCGTTGCCTTTAACTTTATGCCGTCTAGTTTTTCAGGGTAAAAAAAAAAATAAAGTTTCGAGATTTTTTAACAAGGACTACTTGTGCAGTCAATTGAGCAGCTGCCTGAAAACTCAATTTTCTTTATTGGTTTTTTGTAAATTAATCGCAAAAATAACACTTTTGCGAATGTTACTTTGATCGGGAAGCAGATATTTGCCAGAGCGATCAATATACATGTTATTTATCTCGGTGTCATATCGCTTTCTATATCGATATATAAACGAAGCTTTTAAGATGTTGAATTTTTTTTTTTTCACGTACAATTCTTTTTCTCGCTCTTGATTTTCGCTAAAGTTCGTATATTTTCTCATTAAATCGGTTGTTTTCTCATTGGCTGATATTTCTCAATGAATCTTACCTTTTATTTCATCCCGCATTTGTGTTGAATGCCGTAAATCCAAAAAAATTGATACTTGAGTTCGACATTGTCACGTTCATCACGCCACGCAGAAAACATCACGCACATTTCACGCTTCACTAAACCCGCAACCCAGGGAGTCACTCGGGTCCTGTCTGTTCTAGGACGAGTGATTTGTAAACTGCTCTCCTGTTTGTTGGTAGACAAGCCGACTTTCTCTCTGTTGTTGTGCTCTGTGCGCCCCTCAACGTAATGACAATACACTCATGGGTGACAAAATGTGATGGTACTTCCCGTAGATGACATAAAGGTTTTGAAAAGCAGGATTATATTGTGGATGTGATTAAAGTGGAGCATTCATACAGTGGAGGAAATGGCTACAAGGAGGCGGGATTTGTCGTTTGGTAGGTCGAAAGTTTTTCGCCCTTTCTTTTCAGCCTTTAAATTAAAACTACTCAGATCTATAAAACCACTAATGGAAACGTTAGAATTGGCGGCAATGGACACTTCAATTTAGCTAAAAGAAAATGGCTAACTCGTTAAGTGGATCATTTGAGTTTATCGGCTCGTTCTTCGATACGATTGGCAAAATTAACTTGACGATTTCACCAGCCTGCTCTTCTTATCCTGCAACATGGTCATGTTCATGCTTGCAATCTTCTCTTCTTCCTGTTACTGACAGAAAGTCGTAATGTACAACCGTTTGGAGTTTCAGCGGTTAGTTTGAGGCTGCAATTTCACCTGGAAGATAAGCTATCTAGTTGATCCCGACTTGAAACACTCTCGTTCACAAGCCGCTAATGACCTTAGAACCTTGCTAACTTGTTGCAGATTTTCTGCGGAGTTTCGGTTTAGCGAAGGAGAAATGCTATCAACTTAACTTTCATTATTTTTACAACTGATTTATTCATGTAAGTCACTCCGTCGATAAGAAAGAAACAAATAAGCTTGACACGGATGCACTATTATTAGGTTCGTACACTTACTTCTTGAAGAAATCTTTTACTGTTTGGCCAAACATTTTATCGAAGGTTATATTTTAGAATCATGACCGTATGTAAAATTAATGCACCAGAGTTCATAATGTCGAAAGTAAAAATCGCGAAAAACGTTTTTTGAATTTATACACTGTTGGAAAATAATTATGATGCAATTAATTATTTAACAGGTATACCACGGGTTTAAAGACCAGTCTAAGCCAGCTCTAGTTGAATTCCTTGTTTTGTTCGGTCCTGTAGTAGGATGAAGTACGAACTGAGATAACAACTCAACACTGTATGTTGTTTACGTTGGGTGTAATAGCTCAACTATTGTTAAACATTTCAAAAGGAAATAAAATAGGAAAATATGCTAACTAGATTCGAGCACTATTAATGATCTGTCAAATTCCCACGGTCAAAATATTGTGTTTGGGTATCTTGAATAGAGTCAGTAAAATTCTTAATTTCTGGCAGTAAAATTCAAAGAAATTACCACAATGGATTTGGCTATTGTTTTTGGCTTGATTACGTTTCTGTGATGAAAATACACTAGTTACTGCTCTATTGTTTTCTTGCTGTACTGAATAAGAAATGTGCATTTATTTCTTAAATGAATCAGTCAGGGGACTAATTAATGCTGTGTTTATCTGTTATTGATTCAATGAGGTAATTTTTCTTCAAAAAAACAAAAAAGGGGAAATTATAAATAAATACAAACAGGGGTGGCGAAGATTACAGAAGGTTGATATGGATTATAAATGATCAATTTAGACAGTTTAAATTTTTCAAGGTTAAGAAAAGAATTGAACATTGTGGTCCATTAGGAAATTATCTTAAAATGAAATGTGCTTCTATTGTATATTTTATGGTCAAATTTATTTGTAGTCAGGGATTTAAATTGGTTTTCTAGAATCAAAACATCAAGGTCTGTTTTGATTGCTGACTAAATGGAAACTTCTGTGTCAGTTATCAGATTTCCAGGGTGTGTGTTTACAGACTTGCCCCAGATTGATAATTTTCTGTGTTTTCAAAAATTATTTTTAACATCAGTCTTATTATTGGGAAAAAAAACAAAAAACAAAAAAAAAAACTTTTGGCTTTTAGGAAGTTTAAGCTGTTTACATGTAGGGCAACATATGAACTCAATGAAAATGTTAAGTTACAGAATATGATGTTAAATGACTAGTTTTGCCACACTACTTTAAATGAAGCTATTTGGACATATCAGCTTCCAGGCTATGTCAGCTGATGTTGATTTCTCCATTTAGTAATTTTTGGTGCTGTAATCTTTTGTAAACAACACAACATTTTCCAGTGCAAATAAAGATATTTTAAGTCAAAGGCATTTTCTTGTTCCTTTTGACATGTGCTAAATACATTTTGTCTTCAACATGCAGTCTTTATTACCTTGAATAGTTGCCAGGGAAAAAAGCTTGTAGTTTTTGCTATTTGCTCTTTAAAGACCCCTGATTATTGGAAGGAGGGGATTTGTAGGGGATATTTAATATTAATGGAAACTTTTAAATTATTTAGACCTCTATGTCAGCAGCTGATGTTTGTTTGCTACTGTTAGGCACGTTCTCATCAGTTATACATGTGGGCCTCTGCCATGTATTAAGTTACAGTTATGCAATTTTGTGTGAAAAAAACGATCTTTCAATGATACATTAGATGTCATATTAATAATAATGTTTTGCAAAGCCACATATATTCTGCAAAGTTTCATCAGTAAAGTAACTGATGAAAGATGCTGCACCAAAACATTGCATAATCTACACATACATAACTGTGTCATTTCCAAATCAATTTCACCATGCTTGCCCTTCTATCAAAGTGATTAGTCCATCCAAGAAGTTCAGCTCTTGTAAGAAGATCTACTTTCCCCAGCTAGTCCATGCATGTAAGAGTGAAGTTTCAGAATTTCAGATAAGAGAGAAAGGTCTGAGGTCAAAAAACTAACAAAAAGAGGCACCTAATCTGTCAAACTGAGAGAAAATTACTGAAGATTTGTTAACGCTTATCTCCATTGACCTGCTGGAATTTGTTAATTACACTTATTACAAGTTACGCACCTTGTCAATCATTTATGCATGGCTGCTCATGATTCACGAAAAATAATTTTCAGAAAAAATCTGTGGGTCAAAAGTCTTATTGAGGGACACGTACATTTTGTAGAGACTGCTTACTGCAAATTTTGCAGTATGTAAGTGACTATTTTAGTTTATAGTGTTTTGGGGAGTCAATTTGATTTTCTATTTCTAGTCTTTTGAGGTAAGTAGAGTGATTTTTGTTTTGAGTGAAGTGAGGAGGGTAATACAAAGTTGAAGTATTTTGGGGTCAATAGATCTTCAGCATGCATTTATCATTAATTAACAGGCATTTTCTTTTGGGAGGAGTCCAAATTATGCCTCTGTTGTCACCTTCATCCAGTGTTAGCCCCCCAGTATTGCCTAAGCTGACTGCATGCCACTGTCTTCTGTAGCTGCTTGCTTCCCAATGAATATGGTTTAAAATGGTATGCAGGCTTAGCAGGGCAACTAAATGCACCTAGACAGGAGCAGGGTTGGCACATTGGTGAGAGCGCTTGCCTCCCACCAATGTGGCCTGGGTTGGATTCCAGCCCAGTGCCATATATGTGGGTTGAGTTTGTCATTGGTTCTCGCCTTGCTCCGTGGGTTTTTCTCTGGATACTCAGGTTTTCCTTCCTTATGAAAAACCAACATTTCCAAATTCCAGTTTGATCAGGATAGAGGACCTGCAATTACCAGCCATTGCTGATGTGGTTTTCTCTCTAAATAATTTATTGCCTTTTTTTTAGAAATTATTTGATCATTAATCTCCAATAGTCTTGTAGATCATTTCCTTCACATGCTTATGTTGTTTATTTACATCTACCAGTATTTCAGCCAGTTATCCATGAGCCTCTCTCCAAGCCAGATCATCTAGTACATCAGAATGGCATCAATGGAGATTTAGTAGAAAGTGTAGGCACTTCACAAGAGGCACCTGCTCACACTAGGGAAAGCCAAGGTAAAAACACTTAAGATGAAAATATATATTGAAGTAACTGGCACCTTACAAACAACTTATTCATGACATAAACAAAATTGACAAAGGGACCTCAAACAGACCAACTTAATTTGACCAACAATAGATGGATCAAAACTTACTGGACCCGACCAATGACTGCTGACAAACTTTACACGTTGAGTCTCTCAGCAAATACCATCATGGCTAAACTGACTTATTACAGTCAGTGCACCAGACTTATAACACCATCGACTGACTAACATTATTAAATTCACTCTGAAGATCACTTCCACTTGGGTTGTTGAAATGTCAGTCACCAACAACAGTTCTCTTCAGAACTACAGTCAAACCCCTATTGAGCGGCCACGTATTAAACGGCCACCCCTGTTAGGTGGCCAGTAATCAAAGTCCCGATGAGGGTTTTTCTACTATTTTTACCTCTATTTAAAACAGCCAACCCCTTTCAGGCGGCCACTATCCATTTCCCCGAGGGTGGCCATTTAATAAGGGTTGAACTGTCCTCACCTGGACAATCACAGAAGACGGACTAATGAAAAAAGACACTGTAGTTAGTAAAAACTGTTTACAGTATTGTTGAGTGCAGTATATAATTCTGGTATCTGACGTTTCAAATGAGAATATTTCTACTCCATTCCAACTTGTTAGCTTAAGTCAGGCTGTCTTAACAATACTAATAGGATCCTATTTCAACATAATTATAATAAATGGAAACTATGTTTGTCATTTACAATAATTCTGTGATTCTGTTTTGTCTGACAGTGTTCCATGAAGCTATGAGGGAGGCATTCCAAAGCAAAGTGCAACATCCAAGAAAGGCTATGTCACTGTTTCTGAAAGCAGGAAAAGGTCTGTTAATTAATTTTTTTAAAGCCAATGACTAGACATTTTGTAGCACTTGATATTATAACAGTCCTTAAATGCCAGAAGACAAACGGGTCTAACAGTTAGTATGCAGGGCTACTGGGTCCAGGCATAATCCCTAGCTGAGATTGCTTAATTGTTGTTGTTGGCAAGGCACTTTATCCCCAAAGCTCTCCTCTCTGCTCAGGGTATAAATGGGTACAAGAAAATGGAATACTTCCAACGAGGTAAACTTGTGACAGACTAGAATTCCACCTAGGGGGTAAAAAGGTAAAGTCGGCATACGAGCCAAGTGGGCCGTCAGACTGGAGCTTATCCTGGTTTCTGTAGCATGAAGTGACAAGGAGTATTTCTACTGCCCCCCCCCCCCCCCGCTGCCCCTGGATGGGATGTTAGTCGATAACAGGGTTACCCCCAGCGTTTTATTTCACTGGTGCCCATTTATACACCTGGGTAGAGAGAAGCACCGTGAGAGTAAAGTGTCTTGCCCAAGAAAACAATGCAGTGTCCCTGGCCAGGACTCGCACTTGAACCGTTCAATCCAGAGAAGAACACACTAACCATGAGGCCACCTCCCCTCCCCATTTAGGGTTGGGCGTAAAAGGCTCATTGTTGCATAACAATATAGAAACTAGAGATAAGTATTGTCCTGATATTTTCTAGGCTCAAAAGCAGACATCTTTCTTTTTGTTCTCTCCTGTAGGTCTTGTTCTCACTGGAAATGATGAAGCTGCCTTGGAATGTTTTGAATCTCTGATTCACCTGGCTAAGGAACAACTTAATAATGTCTTTGCTGAAAAATCAAAGTTACCTCCATTATCACCAGAAGAAAGGACAGAAATGTTTTCTAAGGTGTGTTCACGTAACTTTAAATTTCTTGTGTAGTTGAAAATTAAATTTTTGCACTGCGATTAGATTAGTCAAGTGGGACAGTGTTAGTCCCTGATTACCAGTAGATTTCATCTACTGCCTCACATTTAAAGACTGATAAGTTTTTCCCTTTTACGAAATGCAGAAATCACTTACAAGACAAGACTCTATAAGAGAAGAAACAGAGCAAGAAGTGCGAGCGCAAAGTGTACAAGCTTCAGACAGAACTCAAAATGGTTACAGTGATATGGCATACTCTGAGAATCAAGAACAAGTGACTGCCATTTCTATTGATAGCAATCCAAGTTCTGTTGTACAAGAATATACAAGTGTTGAAGAACAGCAGGCATTTGAAGCATCTGAAATTGTGCAAGTTTGTGATGCATCAGACATGGTTGTAGTGCAGGAAGAATCAACACCGTTTTGTTCTGTTCAAACTGTGGATGAAAGGCACTCTGTGGCGTCATCTGAGTGCTCCATGTCTGATGACACAGGTACTGGTGGCCCTGTGACATTTAGAGAAGCAACTGTTGTAGACTGCTCAGAAGGCTCAATGTCCTGTGCAGCAGAGTTAGCGCATGATGACATGCAAGTGTGTATGGTAGAATGTGTGGAATCTGTGGGTGAGGAATTTGAAGTTGCTACATTTGACAATGATGATTCTGTTAGCATTTGTAGTCTTGGAAGTGTAGAGAACATTGTACAGACTCATGAAATTGTTATGGAGTGTGGAGAACAGATTGTTGAAGAAGTTACTATGAGTCTGGTGGACAAGGCTCTTACAAGAAGAGGGTAAGGAAAGAAATACAGGATAAACCCAGGCATTCCTTTTGTTTGAAGGAGCGTATTTTTCTTTCTATGGCCAACTTACATGTAACTTAACAGTTGATCCTAACTTGAAAAAAATCTGATCTGCAGGTATGTTGTGAATGAACTGATTGATACAGAGCAGAGCTATATCCAGGATCTGGGTTATGTTGTCAAGGTGAGGAGTAATACCTGAACTTCCCTTCAAATCCATTCCCTTTCATCCTGTCCCTTTCCTTCGCATCCCGTTTCCTTTTCTTTTGCATCCCGTTCTAAACTGTATTTGTCCCATCCATTTCCTACCCATCCCTTCCTATCCTGTCCTGTCCATCCCATCCCATCCCATCCCATCCCATCTTGTTCTGCCCTGCCCATCCCACGCCATCCTTTCCCTTCCCTTTTCTTCCTTTTCCTTCTCTTCTCATCCATCCCTTCCTTTTCCATCCTGTTCTAGCCCACTTCAACCTTTCCCTTCCCTTTTCTGTCCCTTTCCTTCCCATCCTATCCCGTCCCATCTTTTCACTTTCCTCTCTCTTTTCCATTCTATCCCTTCCCTTCCTTCCTTCTGTCCTGTCCTGTCCTGTCCCTTCCCTTCCCTT